AGAGGACTGCTGCCCCATGTGGGTAACTCCTTGGCCGAGGATAGATTTCATGCTGCAGTGGCTGTGGATAGCTTCACAGTGCTGTCTTAACCCTTTGCGCCACAAGGGAGGGTCAGGACTCTCTCTCTCTCTCTTTTTTTAAAAAGATTTATTTATTTATTTATTTATTTATACAAGCACTGGGTACAGTGAAAAGCTCAGGAGGGTGAGAGAATACACCAGAGCCAGAGCGGGGGAGCAGAACAGGCAGACTGACGAAATACACAGCTGAGGGGAGCAGTGAGTGTGGCAGGAGAGGTCTGCGTCCTTGTGGGACCCTTGCTGGAGGCCGGGGATCCAAAACCCGCACTGCAGAGGCTGCTGGCAACTTCTCAGCCCAGGGCTCAACAGCTGTGCCACCAGGGGAGGCCCAGGACTCTCTTTTTTAAGGGGGCACACAGATCTGGGATTAGAATCCAGGCTAATAGTAGTCAGTCTCATCTCAGTTACCTTTTTTTTTAAAAAAAAAAGATTTAAAAAAAATTTTATTTATGTATACAAGGACTGGGGTGTAGGCCCCCAACTGAGGTGCCAGTTGGGGGTGGTGAGAGGATTCACCAGAGACAGAGTGGGGAGCAGAACAAGTGGATCTACTGAAATACCCAGCTAAGGGGAGCAGCAGGGGAAACAGGAAAGGTCTGTGGTGCCATGTGGTTCAGCTCCCTGGCCTGGGATAGAACTCAACCAACAGTGGCTTGTGATAGCTTGATAGCACTGAGATTTTAACCCCTGTACCACCGGAGAGGCCCAAGTTTGTACATTTTAACCCCTTTTTTCAATTCCTCTTTCTCCCCACCCCCCCAACCCCTGCTCCTCTGTTAATCACCAAGCCGATGTCTGTATTCATGAGCTTATTTTTTTGTGTATGATTTTTTCCTTCAGATTTCACATGTGAATGCAATCTTATGGTATTTGTCTTTTGCTGCCTGACTTAATTCACTTAGTGTATGCCTTCAAGATCCATTCACATTGTTGTAATGGCAAGATTTCCTCCCTTTCCATGTACAGTCTCATCCAAACTTTACAAATATATATATACTTATCCACTCATGGACAAGAATCTAAATATAGACTTGTTCATCGCTGATCACTTAGTTTGCTTCCATGTACTTGCTATTGTAAGTAATCCTGCAATGAAAATGGGGCTGTGTATATCTTTTCAAGTTAGTGTTTTAATTTTCTTTGGATAAATACCCAGAATTGCAATTGCTGAGTTCTTTATATATTTTGGATACTAAACCCTTACTAGATAATGTGATTTGCAAATGTTTTCTCCGATTAGGTAATTGCCTTTTCATTTTGTGCGCGGCTTCCTTTCCTGTGCAGAAGTTCTGGGTTTAATGCAGTACCAGCTGTTTGTTTTTTCTATTGGTACCTTTGTTTTTGGTGTCAAATCCAAAAACTCATCACCTCTTCTATTTTTTTGAAAGAGTTTGAGAAGGATTAGTATTAATTCCCTTTTGTTTTCTTGTATTCCCCCACCCCACCCCGCCACCGCCCTGCCTGCCCTGTCCCTGTCCCTTTTCTTTTTCTGTTTTTTCTTTTAATTTTTTAAAGATTTATTTTTATTTATTTATGCATACAAGAACTGGGGTTTAGGCCAGAAGTGCAGCGGGTGAGAGGATTCACCAGAGACAGAGTGGGGAGCAGAACAGGTGGTTCTACTGAAATCCACTGCTGAGGGGAACAGCAGATCAAACTCATGCAGCAGTAGCTGGTGATAGCTTGAAAGCACTGAGACTTTAACCCTTGTGCCACCAGGCCCCCCCCCCACCCCCACGGCCTCTCTTTTTCGTGATAAGTCTAGTTAAGTAAATGTTGGTTTGTCAATCTTGTTTATCTTTATAAAAAAATCTCCATTTCATTTATTTCTGCTCTGATCTTTGTTATTTCCTTTATTCTGCTAAGTTGGGCTTCATTTGTTATTTCTGTTTATATTGTTACCTTTTTCTAGTTCCTTGAGGTATAAAGCCAGGTTTCTATTTGAGCTTGGTATTTATTGCTATGAACTTCCTTCTTAGAACTACTTTTGCTGCATTCTATAACATTTGGTAAATCACATTTCCATTTCTACTTGTCTCAAGTCACATATTTATTTCTCTTTTCATTTCTTCTTTAATCCACTGAGTGTTTAATTTCCACATGCTTGTGAATTTTCCAGTTTTTCTTTTAGTTTCATACCACTGTGGTCAGAAAAGATGCTTGATCTGATTTCAAACCTCTTAAATTTATTAAGTCTCATTTTGTGGTCTAACATGATTTATTCTGAGTAATGCCCATGTGTTCTTGAGAAGAGTGTATATTCTGTTGCTTTTCAAGGAACGTATATGTTAAGTCCATGTGATCTAATGTGTCATTTAAAACCAATGTTTCCTTATTGATATTGTCTGGTGTCCTAGATACTGATTTTAAAACAAACAAACAAGCACAAATAAAACAAGGGCCTCCCTGGTGGTGCAAGGGGTTAAGTCTCAGCACTATGAAGGTATTATTGCAGCATGAGTTCAGGCCAGAGAGCTACCTACATGGCGCAGCAGACCTCTCCTGTCTCGCCTACTGCTCCCCTCTGCAGTGTATTTCAGTCAGTCTGCCTGTTCTGCTCCCCACTCTGTCTCTGGTGAATCCTCTCATCCCCCCCATACCTCTTGCCTACACCCCAGCTCTTGTATGCATAATTAAATAAAATAATCTAAAACAAAACTTTTATTTGGACATAATTTGAGATTTACAATTGACATTGACCTTTTAATGCTGAGAATAGCTCTGTGAAGAAAGTACTATTTTCTCCATTTTTCAGATGAGGAACTAAGATTTATAGAAGATAAGTAAGAACTCCATGGGCATACGCATGGAGTTCACTTGAGGAACTACACCATCCAGCCTGTGCATAAATAAATAAATCTTTTTTAAAAAGAAATCATTGTGTAACAATGCAAGGTATTGGGGGAGTTCAAACTCAAGTTTCCTTTTAACTTCACTTGAGGAACTATACCATCCAGCCTGTGAAATGGTCTGGCCTGGGTAAAAGATAAGATCTTTCCATAGCAAGAAAGAAAGACTGTACCAGAAGAAAAGAAGAGGAAAAGGGTGGGAGAAAGGGGAGGAAAGAGATGGTTGTCAAGTTTTTTCTCCTCCATAATTGTGTCCAAGTCTGCTCTTCAGTCCCTGTCAATGAAAGTCTTCTATACTGGCAGAAACCAAGTTAAGATAATCAGAAATAGTTCAGAACACTGCAAACCTCAACTTCCCCATCCCTGGTTGGGTCTCTCTACATTGAGAAACCATTTGAACTTCAGTTTAAAGTTCTTAACAACCCATTTGTCCTCCCTCTCCTCCTCTCCCCCCCCCCCACACCGCCAACTATACACACTCACAGAAGAGGAAGACACGCTACAAACCCGAGGGGTTTCTCTTTTCTAGGGTATTTTCGCTCGGTTCTGCAGTATCTACTGTATCCGGAAAGTGTGAGCCATTTGGGGTAACCATGGAGATATTACTGGTCTTCTTGTTTCCTTCCTTTTCTTTGCTATTAAAATATTCTGCTCAGATTTCTATAAGGCACCCCACTTCTGCTGGTATCAAGATTCTGAAGCTCCTCTCTCCCCTCAGGGACACTTGCATAGGGAGTGGGAATTTTTTCCCTAATTTTTAAGAAATAACTTTTTTTATTGAAGTAACATTGATTTACAACATTATGTAAGTTTTAGGAGCACAACATTATATTTTGACACCTTTATATACTCCATTGTGATCACAACCAAAAGTCTAGCTTCCATCCCTCATTATACAACAGACCCCCTTTACCTATTTTGCCCACCTCCTTCCCCCTCCCCTCTGGTAACTACCATTTTATTATTAATAATCTTGAGTTTGGGGGCTTCCCTGGTGGCGCAAGGGGTTAAAACGCAACCTATGAAGCTATCCGCAGCCACTGCAGCACAAGTTTGATCCCCCAGCCAGCCAGGGAGCTACCTAAATGGTGCAGCAGACCCCTCCTGTCTCACCTGCTGCTCCCCTCAGCAGTGTATTTCAGTAGATCCACCTGTTCTGTTCCCCACTCTGTCTCTCAATCCTTTCACTATCCACACCTCTGGCCTGTACACCAGTTCTTGTATGCATAAATAAATAAATCTTTTAAAAAATAATCTTGAGTTTGATTTTGTTAATTCATTTGTTGTCTTCCACATACAAATGAACTCATACCTTATTTGTCGTTCTCTGACTTATTTCGTTTAGCATATTACCCTGTAGGTCTATCCGTCCCAAGTGTCAAGATTTCATGTTTTTTTTCTATAACTGAGTAGTATTCCACAAGTCCATACCCTGCATTATTTTCATTCATTTATCCATTTGAAAGGCGCTTGGGCCGTTTCCAAATCGTGGCTGTTGAAAATAATACTGCAATGGAATTAGAGGTGCATATGTCTTTTTGAATTTGTGTTTTTGTATTCTTGGATAAACACCCAGAAGTGGAACCAGTTCATATGGTATTTCTATTCTTAACTGCTTAAGGAATCTTCACACTGTTTTCATGGATGCCGCACCAGTTTCTATTTCCACCTTCAGTGTTCCAGGAGGAACACGTTTTAAAATGAGAGCATTTAAGCACAGGAAGGGATGAATGCGATTTTTACCAAAAGCACTTCATCAGTTCCAACCAGAACTCGGGCTTTGGCTCCTAGCCCTAACCCAGACTACAAGTCCCAGAAGACACCGCAGTGAAGGAGCACTCCAGTAATCCTTCCCTCACTTTTATAGGTAGTGGAGATAAAGGTTCCGCCTGCGGAGCGCTGCGGCTTAGTTTGTTGTTAAACGCGGTCAGGCAGGTTGGAAGCCCGCGACAACTGGCGGGGGCGTCGGGAGGCGGATTCCTCCTCCCTTCAAGCACCGGGGGGCGGGGAGTAGGGAAGCCCGGCCCGCGGGTCGGGAACCGAGCGGTGGAGACCGAGCAGGAGGAGGAGATGGAGGGCGAGGGGGTGCCGTGGGCCAGCGAGCCCGTGTCGGGCCCCGGCCCGGGAGGCGGCGGAATGATCCGGGAGCTGTGCCGGGGCTTCGGCCGCTACCGCCGCTACCTGGCCCGGCTGCGGCAGAACCTGCGCGAGACCCAGAAGTTCTTCCGCGACATCAAGTGCTCCCACGGCCGCGGCAGCCCCCCCGCCCCCGCGGGCGGCAGCGGGGCCGAGCCGGGCCCTGCCGGCGACGTCGCGGAGGCGGGTGAGCAGCGCGGGCCGGGCCGGGCCGGCTCGGTGCAGGCGGACCGCGCCCGCCGCAGGAGGGCGGGAAGTGCGGGCCGGGCCGGGGCCGCCCCGGCGGGACCCGGAATGCCGGGGGCGGGCATCTCTCGCGGACGGTGGGGGAGGGCGCCCCGGGGCGAGGAGCGGGGGGCGGGCAAGGGGCGCCCCGAGGCCGGAGTGGGTCGCGGACTGGACCTGGGGGAGGACGGGAGGGGGGCGCGGGCCTGCAGAGGGCGGCGTGGGCCGAGGACCGGGGCGAGGGGCCGCAGGGAGGCTGGGAGCGGCGGTGGGGCAGACCCCTAGCCTTAGGGATGGAGGAGAGGTCGTGCGCTGGCTGCCGCGGGAGCCGGAGCAGGCCCGGGAGCTGTCGCGGGGCGCGCGTGTGTGCGTGTTTGATGTTGTGTGTGAAATGCTTGCACACTCGGGCAGCTCCGTGGAGAGGGGTGTCCTCTTCCGAGGCTCCGGGGCGCCAGGGGGGCAGCCCCGGTGGGAGCCAGGGGCTCGGTTACGTGAAGATCGGGAGGGAATGGGTTCTGGTCCTGAGGGGTCTTGACGTCCTGATGGGATTGTCTCCGGGATGTGCTGGAGGCCCTCGAGCACTTCAGGTCGAGCATGGTCTTTCTTCTTAAACTGCTCTTGGTGGGGAACTGGAGCGTTTAACTGGCCAATCACATTGGGAAGTTACTTAGGTTGGAGGGAAGAAGGACGGGCATCCCACGAGTCTTCTGGGAACGACAGAGCAGAAACTTCAGTGGGTTTATTTTAGTGCTCCTCAAACTTCAGTGCGTCGTAAAATCCAATTTAAACTTAGAATATCTCAGGATCTAGCCCACAGATTGATTGAGTCGGTCTAATGGGTGGGTCCGAAGAATCTAAACATAAAGGGCCCCAGGGGATTCTGCTGCAAACATATTTCCAGAATTACAAATTTAGACGCGGAGAGCTGCTAAGTGAGGACTCGGAATGGAATGAATTGTTCAACTCTGACTTTGTGTTGGGCCCAGTATTTCCAAAGTTGCTTTTCTAATCACCTAAATGTCTCCGGCTCCACAAATTGTGGTAGAAATAAGGTAGTAAATGGGCCTCCCCGGTGGCGCAGCGGTTGAGCGCTGGGTTGCGAAGCTGCCCGCGGCCTCTGCGGCGCCGGTTCGATCCCCGGCTGCTCCCCGGCCACCGGAGGAGGGTCCCACATGGCGTGCAGACTTCTCCTGCCGCCCGCTGCTCCCCTCAGCAGTGTACTTCGGTCCTTCTGCCTGCTCTGCTCCCCGCTCTGGCTCTGGTGAATTCTCTCACCCTCCCGCGCTTCTGACTGTACCCAGTGCATGTATAAACAAAACAAACAAACCAGCAAACAAATAAATAAAGCATGCCTCTATAAAAAAAAAAAAAAAAAAAAAAAAGAAATAAGGTAGTAAGATCCTGACATTGTCTTAAGTGATACTATTTAGTTGTCCTGCATGTAAATAAAAAAGTTATATTTTATTTCGTGAAGTAGCTGGGAGGAGGGGATGACTAGCCTTTTTTTTTTTTTTAATATTCTAAAGGGCATGTTTATTATATGAGCAAAGGGAAAGGAAGGGAAAGCCCCCTGACAGACGCAAGCAGCTGAAAGAGCTGCCCCTGAAGGGGACAGGTGTGCGAAGAGAGGCCTTTCGGGTCACAGGCGGGCAGGAGGGCTGCCATGACTAGCTTTTCTGAAGTTGTGGTTTTGAAATCTTCTGTCCAGAGATTGCTGTTCTGAAAATGGACCTATATGGGAATTCATTTCTCTGAGGTTCTCAGAGAACAAGTGGCGAGACGGCTGGCAGTGTACCTCTCCCCCTTTTCTTCAGCGGTGCTTTCCAGTGGCTTCCCTGCTCAGGAGTTTTTCCTCATAGCTTATCTAGAAAAGCCCTTTGTTGCTCTTATTTTAAAACAACTAGTTAGGTTACTACTGGGGGGGGGGAGGTGGATTCACCTCTGAGAGATGAAACCTTGGTTGGCTTTTGTTTGTATTCTCTGGAAGCCAACTTAAATACAATTGCACCTTTGTGCTGTGCCTGCTGAGCTCTCTGCAGCGGGAACTCATCTTTCCAGAGTTAACTCTCTTCACCCTCCAGGTCTGCTCGCCTAAGTGAAAACCAGGGAGAGAGCCCAGATGATAGTTTTCGAGCAGCTTGATTTTGTTGGGTAAAATGCTGCCATTCTTCTCAGTGTAGGAAGTTTTATCTTTGGAGGGGAAAATAACAGGGAAAATGTGACATTTACTATGTGTATTTTGGGGGATACTGTTTTTTTCCCAGCCATTTAGGTCTTCGTTCTGGAAAGTTAAACCACTCCTTCAAAGACAGCTAGCTCTTGTTTTCTCCTTTACAGGATATCTTTACAAGGTCAAGATCTTTCGTGAGTGTTTCAGCTTTTTTTTTTTTTTTTTTTTTTAATGAATGCTGGTTTCTGATTAATAGGAACTTGGAATGTGAAGAGAATGAACACTCAATTCTTCCTGACAAATGTCTAGAAGGGTTTAATTACCATTTCAGGTCAGAAGTGTACTTCTAGGTTGGATGTAGTGCAGTATTTGAGCAATTGAAGATCAGGCATCAACTCTAAATTTTTATATTATTTCACTTTTAACTGCAGAGAAGATGGGAGGGACCCACAAATAATGTTTCCTTCTTATTGTTGATAGCTAACTATTCCCTGGGGCCAGTGTACAGGCTACATGCTGTATATGATGTTTCAGAAGTTAGAAAGTAGGTGGACTAGAAGGCTTAAGTGAGAGTAGCTTGGCCTGTACAAAGAAAAGTGAATTATTGGGCCTCCCTGGAGGGGCAAAGGGTTGAGACTCAGCACTATGAAGCTATCAGCAGCCACTGCAGCACGGGTTCTATCCCGACCAGGGAGCTGACCCACATGGCATAGCAGACCTCTCCTGTTTCTCCCACTGCTCCCCTCAGCAGTGTATTTCAGCAATCCACCTGTTTTGTTTCCCACTCTGTCTCTGGTGAATCCTCTCCCCCCCCCCCATTTCTGGACTTCATTTCAGTTCTTGTATGTATAAATAAATAAAATAAATCTTTAAAAAAAAAAGAAAAAGTGAATTATAAAGTGAAACTTTTTGGATTCAATTTCTCAGCTATCCAGATCAGTGGCTTTCTTTTCATTTAACTGTTGGGGATGAGAATCCTCCTCTCTGTGGATTTTCCTCATCAGAGGGATCAGAAGTAATGAGCTAAAAGACTCTCAGCATTTCTGAAAAATAGGCTATTACAACACAGAGGGAAAAGTATTTTTCTCGTTTTATGATCCATTTGAGTTTCTAGCTGTGTATCATAAACCTCTCAAATTTAAGAAATTGGGCAGACTCAGATGTGTCTACTTGGAATGCTCCTGTTCTACTGCCTTCCTTCAGTCCTTCAGTCCTGGTCCAGCCCTTGCTAGCAGAGACTAGGGGAACCACCCACAGCTGTGGGTGCCTCAGTGTCCTCATCTGGAAATGAGGGTTATAATAGTAGTCCTTTCTTTTACGGTTGTGGGAGTTAATATATGTATGTGTTTAGAATAGCGGTTAGGTGCTGTGTGTTAGTTGTTACTGTTTATCAGTTGTTAGTTGTTACTGTTCATCAGTCATTTGCATGTCTGTATGAGGGATAAGGAGTGAATAAAGATATTGGCCTTGGATCAGTTGAGATCATCTTATCCACACTTTTCTCTTGAGAAAGAAGAATATTATAATTTTCATCATTGCAGTGCACCTGTTTGTTAGACAAGGCATGAGAAGCACTAGGAAGTTCTGAATTTGGTCCTCTCAAAAAGTATAATTTCCAGCATCTACATATGCAATGTATAAAATAGAAAAATGCAGAAAGCAAAGATGTGGTTAGATTATAGGCATTTTATGTGAGCTATATTTCTTTGGTTTTTATAGCTCCTTGGCTGTTGTTGGCTGACAAATTAGTTCCTCCAGTATTCATCCTCTTTTTTTGTCACCTCTAGTAGATATAAACTGGTGGCCAGAATTAAAAAGAAGAGGAAAAGCACTAGTACATTTATTTAAAACAGACATTTTTCTTGGACTTTTCCAATGGAAATTGGTATGGATATAAAGTTAAGTGTCAGAATGACATTCGCGTGGAGGAGAGGTGGTTCTTTACAGCCTGGTTTCACACACAGTCATCTTCGTGACACTGAGGGGTGGGGAGGATGTGAAGTTGCAGGGTGAGACAGACAGCGGAGCTGAGACTGGCCCTGTGTGCATCTAGCAGTTTGCCATCATCTCTTGAAGCGCTGTCTGCATTTCAGCATAAGCCCAGCAGAGATGGTGCTCTAATCATGGTTCTTATTTAATTACTTTAGATGAACAAAACCCCATTTTTTTTCAAAATACGTGTAAAACTTTTAATTTTTCTTTATTTTCTTCCTGCATGGAAGCCTATAGTGGTCAAAAGCACACGCATTTGAATTACATGGGGGCGCCTGTTCTTGTTCAGACTCTTGTTTAAGCTGTGACTTGGGGCAACTCACTTACCCTATTTGAGTCTTGATTTCTTCATATTTAAAATAGGAATGATGCAAAATGCTATATGTTGTATGATTCCATCTGTATAAAATGTCAAGAATAGATAATAAATAGAAGTAGATTAGTGGTTACCAGGGACCGGAAAGAGGAAAATGATGTGCTAATGGGTATGGGCTTTCTTTTTCTGGGGAATGAAAATGTTCTGGAATTAGATAGTAGGTTAGTAGTGACTCTTCAACTTTGTGAATATACTAAAAACTACTAAATTGTGTACTTTAAAAGTATACAACAAGTGAATTTTATGATATGTGGATTCTATCTATAAATAATAAAATGGGAGTGATAATATCTACCTCGCAAAGTTGTGACGTTTAGAGATACCATACATTAAAGCACTCAGCAGGCATGTAGTTGTTACAGGGCAAGGTAAGGGGCATCCCAGGAACCCCCAAACCTGCCTGCTCTAAATAATTTCTGCCATA